TGAACTGAACCTCTGAAACCATGAGCCTCAAATAAAATTTTAATCCTAAAAGTTGGTCAGGTTGACTCTTTGGTCCCATCAACAAAAACCTGCATAGATAGTATACCATACTCCCTGTTGGCCTTCCTGCTTCAGCTTTTGCTTTCTGAATGGCAGCTGAAGTCACACCAAAGTTTTCTCTCCTGCTTAAATCTTGCAGTGGCTTCCCACCAAATGCAGAAAGCCACCATGACGAACTGAGTCCTGTGTGCTCCTACTCATCTTGCTACCCTCACTTCTTCCTCTTGTTCCCTTCCCTCCAGACCTCCGGGGTCCACCACATGACATTGCCTGTGTTCCTTGAACATGCCAACATCCACCCTGTGCCCTCTGACTGAACTCATCTTTCCTCTCTCTGTACATAGCTGATTTCTTTTCATCCTTCTGGTTTCAGATTAAATGTCACCTCCTCAGAGAGTTCTTGCATCAGCCCCTTCAGAACAACTCCCACTCCCTGCTCTGGTTTCTCTCTATTATTGCACATGAGTTTCTTTTGTTGCATATACTGCAATCATTCATGGTCTTGTTCATTAATGTTCCCATTGGTCATTTATCTTTATGACCTGGATGCAAGCTCCAGGTGGGAGCAGAATCACTGTGCATTTCTAGTCTGGCTGAATGAAAGAATAAACCAACAAAAATGGAGGGAGCAAAAAGCAGCTAAAATAAAGTTTCCTAAAATAACACATAAAATTTTGGCTGTTTTTTTTTTTTTTATTATTGCCTTTCTCTTAATAGGAACGACTAGTACTCTCTATGAATTACAAGTGTGCTGCCTAAATGTTCATTTCACTTTCAACATTTTGACTTCCCTCTCCTCATTCTATTAGTCACCACGACCAGGTGATCCCTGCATCTAATTCTTTCGGTGTTTTGCCTTCAAAACCAGCTCCAGTTCTCCAACTGACACTCTTATCCTCCTCCTGTAGGTCACAGCAAAGACCTTCTCTTTCTTCTCTTAGTTCAACCATCAGTTCAACTTCTCCTCTTCCTGACACATACGTCTTCTAATGTCACTGTGAACCTTTCACTTCACTTTCCCAGAAGATTCATGTTCTATCTTAGTATAGTAGGTACAAAGATCCTCCAAAATTGAATCATATTCACTACTTTTTTCCCATCTCAAGCAGTCAATAATATTTCCCACTATTTCTTTAAATAATTCCTTTGGTCTCCTCAAATGCTTACCTTTCTATCCCCCAAATATATCCTGTTCATTACTCAAATATATCCTGTTCATTACTCATTCTGGATTTTTGCTTCATCATGGCACAGATGGGGGGGGGGGGGCGCTGGCGCTTCCCCGCTTCATCAGCTGAAATCAAACATTTTCTACCGAATACAGTTCAGTTCCAACATCTTCACTTTAGCCTCCCCTCTCAGTTCCACCCACACGTTCTTGCCTTCTTTCCCAGTTCTTATAGCACTTAAACAATTGTTCCAGGCAACATTTGATTGGCCCGTGTAACATTTGATTATACAAGACTTACATTTTGTTCTCCAGTTATTTCATATGTGTAATAGTTTCATATGAGACTGCAAGCAAGGACTGTACCCTTACTTCCTTATACTCCCAGCAGTGGAAAAAATAGTGCTGATCCAACAAGAGCCTCTGACATTGATATTGATTTGCATGAACTTGAGGATGAACCCCTTCAACTATAACCGTTATAATCTGCAGTACCCAGCAGACCACACTGACTCTTACCCGGTCTCTCCTGCATGACTCTCAATGTCTGAAATGTTCCCTTTCCACCTTCATTTACCTGGCAAATCCCTAATTCTCTTTCCATTCTCAATTAGGACAACATCTACTAAGGAAAGGCAAGTACCCTTTGTCCATTCCTTACATACTCCCCTACTCTGATATCTATGCAAAGCGTCACCCTATACATTCCATTAAATGTTCTTGATTCATAGCACCTGGCACACTATATTATAAATGTCTATTAACCCTCTGGCTTCCTAGACTAATTCATGTGCTACTTATGGTCAAAGAAGTTATCTTTTTTTTTTCTTTGCAGCAGCAGAGCATAATGTTCTGTTGATTGTTGAAAAACTAAACGAACAAATAAATTGATAACAAAATCTGTTAAAAAAAACTAAAAATTTAGAGCATAAATATCACTTGAGTGTTAAGAAATGCCCAATATATCCCATTCATACCACTTAAGATGGCTATTTGTTTTTCATTCCAAAAATCCTTAAGCCCCCAATATGTAACAGCACTGGGGAAACAGAAAAGACCCAAACAACTACAAATCCCTAACCTCTCAGACCTTCATCTTTCTAGTTGAGTCAGGCAAGCTCTGACAGCTGGAAACCACAGATGAGTTCCAAGCAAGTTTGTGCAATGATGCTAAAGTGAATGCCAAAATAGTGGCAGTTTAAAAAAGGTGAGCAGTAGTTAAAATTGGATCTACTTTAAAGGCAGAGCCAGCATAGCTGGCTGATGAACTAGACATGGGTTAGGACAGAAAACAACAGTCAAGGATGGCTCATATTCTGTGGTATATAGAATAGGATTTGTGAAAGGTTTGGAAAGAACATGTAGATACATGAAAAGTTTCTGTAAAATGATGTTTTAAATTTTAATATGCAACAACTAACCTTCCCTTGGGCATATTTTGAAAGAATAGCAAGGGTCACATTTGCTTCTTAGACAAATTGATAAAATGGAACAAAAAGACCCTGGACAATTGTTAACAGTCTAGCTCCATGAAGCACTGTGTATACTAAGTACCCTAAAAAAGCCACTGAAATTTGTTTACTATAAGCCTCCCAAAATCTATTTTTAAAATGACCAATTCAATGTAGCTAATACAATAGGTTACAATTTCTATGACTTCTAATAGACACTTCAAAGCTCACACAATTATTATCATTAGCAATATTAATAATTATACCTTAAATTATATAGAACCATAATTTAGATGTCAAATGGACACATGATAGAGGCCAAAGCTTATGCTTGTCCTAAATCATAATCTAATACAAGGTGATGCGAGAGGGTTTTGACCTAGGAGCAAAAGCCTATGGAGTAAGAAGTCCCCGTACAAGTGACTCAGAATGACTTAAGCCACCTAAGACTAAATACTGAAAGAAACAGTGGGAGATTTGGGCTGTAAGGCAGCTACTTAAATAACCCAAATAATCAGCTACTGTGCTTAATGGCTATAATTTGGGGTAAAGCTGGTAATAATGGTTTATTTTTTTTCATGCATTGAAGTATATGTCTGAAAAACTTACTGAATCTGGGGATTTAAACAACGAGACTGTTTATAAACATATGATGCAACAGTAAGTCTGTATAATGACTGAGTCTCTTGCAAAATAATTCAGTGGAGGTCATGATGAGTTATAACTTGGACTCTGGAGTTTTCATTGGGCAGAAACAAGCCATTCTCACTCAAGTCTGTGAGCTCTCTTTTTTTTTTCCCCTCACAGACTCTAAGTAGTTTACACAATAAATAGTTATTTCCATGGTAGAAATGGCCAACATGTCTAAGCCTCAAGCTTAACCCTATTATTATGGTTAGAAATCAAGGTTGCCCTTCTTCCAGATTTTCACAGCCACACAACTTTTGACCTAGCTGATGGAAATGTAAGAGTACATCGTTTCCTGACCTCCTAACACAGGCAAAAAATCAACATGCTAAGGTATTTATTTTGCTGACTAGTGATACAATGCGCAGAGGCACTATGGTGGATTCATACAATAGCAACCACTATAGATTCCTGCCAAAGAAAGAATTTTAAGCCAGAGTTTACCCCTATATTTTCCATGTTCTCTTATCGAGGACTTTGCTATAAAACACAGATTTAAAAATTTCCCCCACTTTATCACTGATGGATGACATAACAGAATATAATTGAAACTTTCAGAATCTCAATGTAATCAATCCCGGACAGAAATTCTCATTGTTAGCACATGCAGAAGGGAAGAACTTCCCTTTTCACATAGATTTTTCTCCCACCTAAACATCATTCTTAACTCTGACAAGTGAACTTCTTTCTCCCTTCTTAAAAGTTATGTTTTAAACTCACTCCTTCCCTGAGCAGGAAGATGATAATCTTTGCTAAACCCCATAGGATGGCAAACATGAATTCCACTGTGGGATCTGCATTTAATCTGTTCTGGGACATTGACTGATTCACAGAGAGAAGACATCTTCTACATGTACCTATTCTGCTGTGTCATTAGCAATATTAATAATTATTCCTTAAATTATATGGTATAATTTAATTATATTATATTATATAAGGTGTGGAAGGTACTGAATGCATGCATGATGAAGCTCAAGGACAAAGCCATGATCCCTCTGTGACCCTTTTCAACATTAAACAAATGGTGGGATTAGGAAAAACCTCAGGGGCCTAAATGACCTTGTTTTTCTAATCCTTGCATTTTGGCTTGACCTTTTTTTTTATGTTTATGCCATTGACAAAATATAACATATTAAAAAACGAACCATGAAAAGAATCATACCCATGAGCATGAAACAACACTCAGTTTGTTGAAATGAAGAGTTAAAATTTACAAATTGAAAAAGTTGATATGAAAGAACATCATGGAAAGAGTACTGAAACTGTAGTCAAATCCTTTCCTGCAACACTAAAGAAATAAAGACACAAAAGAAAGTAAAAACTACTTGTCCTAAGAAATCATTGTTTCAAGCCAGTCTTGACATTACTATGCATTTGTTAAATGTCTCTACTGGGTTGCTCCAGAGTTTCAGATATATTTTAAATATAACTCGGCGTCCAAAAACAATGACTAATTCATTTCTATCACTCCAATGTTCAAAATTTCAGGACTCCTTTTCAGAACCAACTTATCACAATCTAGTTTTCTACCTTAGGAAGACCTTTTTTTGCTCAACTATATAAATAAATTCAAACAAATGAATTTTAGGTCACAAACTATACCAAAATAAAACACAAAATAAGTTGTCTCCTACCTATGGTTGTAATAACAGTGCCAGCAAAGAAGAAGGAACTTCCCAAATCCCAGTGACTGATTTGATTGGAGGTGTTTCCTAAGGGTATAATCCCTGCATTTATTGCTGCCACTATTTGCTGCAAGTTTAAAAAGAAATTTATCAGTGCACATCAATCATGGAGAGGCATCAAACAGTATCAATCCCACCCCAGAAATGACTAGTTAGACAAAGAGAATCAATTTTAAGGTTTTAATTTTCTATTTAAAATGAAAGTAGATGTTAAAACTTCACAGTAAAGAATTTCATAGCAGTTCAATAATAAGAAAAATACATTTGATATCAAGTGAATGCATCTTTATGAAGCTTCTAATAAACAATAGGTACAACTAATGTGCATTCATATCATCAATTAACATAGTGGCACATTGAATTAAACAACTAAATATAACAATGTTCTCTAATAAGCACCACAGATTTCTTAAAGTTTAAAATATCAGATTGCAAATTACAATTTAAATAACATGTAATAGTTTCATCAATAAAGAGTATTTCCAAAGTGGTAATCATTTCAAATGTTAAACATAGGCATCCAAGCCTGAGTTGTCTATAATTGAAGTGACCATATATTAAAAAGCTCTCCCCCCTAAAAAAACAGGCTAAGTGGAAAGAAAGAAGGAGAAAGAAAAAAGCATAGCAATTTACTGTCAAGCTTGTCAATCCAGTTAGATTCAGAGTTCTCAAATTTCACTACATTCTTATCAATTTTATAGCAATGAAAATCAACAAAGATTAACATCTGCACTATTTAAATAGGGACCATTAGGATCTAGATTCTTCTCCAGCTATTACTGAGGGGTAGACAGAAAGATGACATTATAATCCCTTCTTCAATCATCAGATGTTGGAGAAGGAAAGGAGAAGATACTAAGAACAAATAATAAGAAAACATGTGAGATGAAAATGTACAGAAGAGAAATATACAGATATATACAGAAGAGGATATTTATGTTGTAAATAGAGTTTTAGAGGTCTTTATCATTTAATTTTCAGATTTTTAATATCTGAAAGAGTTTCATTGAATAAGAAGATCAAAAATCAAGAAAAGAGTGACTGGCTTAGTTATATAGTGTTATGGCAAATGGTCATTAAGTACATTCAGAAAATAGAGATAGTTTCCCAAGGAAGTGACTAGAAAAAAAAAGATGGAAAAAAACAGGAAACCAAGAGGTGAAACAGAATTTCAAATCCCATTTAAAGCTGACTCTTACAATATCTGATTTGTATTCATCTGTGAATGGAAACTCCTATACTTGTGAAAAAAATTAAGACACTATGAAAATGCATTGAAAAGATAATTTAAAACTAAACATATAATTCCTGAATCCTGAGATAACCCCAGCTACTGTTAAAACAGTATAGGTATATACTCAAGGTAGTTTGATATGCTTTCTACATAGTTGGATCTGTGAATTATATATTGGATGGTTGGATTTGTGAATGATATGAAATGTTGCATTCTCTAATCTTAACATGATTCCACTGCAGATTTTCTTTGTCATTAGCACATTTACATAATCATGGTCCAATATGTTGATGCATATGTTGTTCTAAAATTTGTCTCATTATAAAAAAACATGTTGTTTTGAATATATTTGTGTATACATGCTTTCTATTTTTGAACACTCCCTCAGGAGATATTGTTAGAAATAAATGTGCCACACTAAAGATTATGAAGGCACCTGAGGTACAGTAGCAAATAGTTATCCAAGGAGGGTATCACAACTGACCCCCTACAATTTATGAATGCTTAGCAATACCTCTAAAATTAATAACATGTTATCTTTACTGGACTAGTGAAAATGTTTACATTTATATATTGCTTATTGAGAATATTGTTTAAGTATGCTTCCTTTATTCTATGTTAAATGTACACAAATGGACACACATAGACACCCATGTACACAGCACACAATGAAGCGAGTTTTGAGAGAGTTCATTCTGTTTACCTCTCTATGGTAAGCTTCATACCAGATAAGGCAGTTCTCACTTCATTATCCTCCTTTCAAAACATGTTCTTTACAGTTATTGCCTTTTTATTCTTGCGTAAACTTTACAATCATTTAGTTAAATTTTATAGAAATTTTCATTTCCATGGGTTTAATATATTTTCATTGAAACATGTCACATATTTTAAAATTGAAAATATGTAAAACCTATAAATTAATTAAGGAAAACTAACATTAAAATAGCTGAACTTCTCACCATTGAACATGGCATGTATATCTATAGCATTTTAACATATTACATATAGATCTATACATTTTTTCATAGGTATTTTCTTTTTCCATTTTAAATTATAATTGTTTATTACTATGGAATATATACATACATGTCATTCATCCTTTTTACCAGCAGGTCTCAAATTTGATATCTTAAAACTACTTTGTAGTTCCAAAATTTATTGAAGACTTTTGTTTATTGGATAATAAGTATTAATATTTACCATATGTTGTAATTTCTAATTTTCAAATGTGTTGATTAATTCATATACAAATAAAAAGAAGCTCGTGTAAGTAATCTACTTTTACGAAAAATAATTATGCTTTCCAAAGCAAACAAAATACGTAGTAAGAAGACAAGCAGTTTTATAATTTTATAAAGGTCTATAAAGTCTGGCTCATTAGATAACAATTCTATTTTAATATATGCTTCTGCATTCAATCTGACAAGACAGCATATCACATAGTCTCTGGAAAACTCCGGTGCACCTTCATAAGACAAAAGGCAGAGTGCTAGCTACTATGGACAACGAAAAAACATAAATACTTTAGTATTATTAAGAAAATAAGGTTTGACTCATCAAACCTCTGACAGTGTCTTGGGGACCACATTTTGAGAACCACTGCTTAATACTAAACTCATTATTCCCTTTTCTTTGTGTGTTTGATTCAACTAAAACTAAAACCAAATAAGTCGTTACTTACAAATCACGACATTTAATCTCATCTTTCAATAGCTACATTTTATTACTTTTCATTTCTTACTGCATTGTCCACTTTTTCCAGAGCCAATGCTAAATAAGAACATTAAAAGCAGATTCTTTGTTCTTAATCATATAAAATCCTCAATGAATACTTTATCATTTAATATCTTCACTATTGGCAAGAAAATGATGTTTAAGTACATTATGAGAGCAGGCATTAAAAAGACAAAACTTTAAAAAAATAAAATTGCCTTCAAAAAATAATTTAATATAGCAATAACCATATATAGGATGTAATAGGTGAAAAAATGAAAATTATTCTATTTAAGCAAAAACCAAATGAAAATTATAGGTTCATGTACTCTAACACTAGGAAAAGCATAGCTTATGTAGCTAAATAAATAAATCAAGGTATCACAAATCTGAAAGGGCTGCTTATGATAAGTCTGCTATTAGCTGGTTACTCTGGAAGAAAGAGCTTCACAGTTAATAAACATGGGGATGCCACGCCTTTGCATGTGCTGGCAAACACTGTAGGCATAAGCCCCAGGAACACTAGGGTGTCACTCCCAGGAAAAGCTAACACTTCCAGTAAACATTAGGAAAGAGGAAGGTTTAGACAGATTGTAAACGCACACATAGTATATTGTAATATTTTACAGACATTTCTTTAACACATTCATTTATTTTTTTAAAAAATGATTATTAATCTATGGTGACAAACAACTGCAAAGCAACAGCCAAGTAAAAACATAAATGATAGAAATATAAATGAGAAAAGGGAAGGCAAGTATTCAGACTTTACCCAATAGAATTGATTATCTTATTGGCTAAAGCAAGCAAATTTCGCCAACAATTAATTTAATACAGCTTTTATGGCCAACACCATTATTTGATTTTATCCCCTCCCAAGGGTTGAGGGTGTAGCTCAGTGTTAGAGTGCTTGCCTAGTGTTCAGGAGGTCCTGGGTTCCGTCCCCAGCACTGAAAAATAAACAATGGCTTTTATTTTGTTCTTTCCTTTGTCAATGGTGAGGTGCAATGTTGCTCAGTCAGATACTTGAATAAAGTCCACAGATTATTTAAATTCAAAAGAAGCATATCCAGAGCTATAACCAGAAATGGCAGTGTCTGGCAATGTGTGGGTTGTAAATAGGCATGGCAGAGCTGTGATTATTGAAACAGAGGCTTGAGATCAAACTAAAAATACATCAAGTCACTATGAGAATGAATCTACCATAAGGTCTTTTCTCTAGTTCTCATAAATTTATTTTATATTTTTGAACAAAATCTCTCAGTCAACATCCACAGGAAACTAAATGCCCTTTCCTACACAGACTTAGGACTCCTCAATTTCATCCTTGATTCAGATATCAGAGCACTTAGCAAATGTATTCAGGAGAACTGTTTCCAGTTGTGCTGTATCACATGACTAAAGTAACATGTTCACTTAGTAAATAATAAAATTCACTTTTCCATTAAAAGAAACTTTTGTAAACAATCATGTTAATGTTGACAACTGATGAACAGGTTGATTTCTTTGGGTTAAGATAAAGAAAATGTGCATTCCTATGCATTTAATACTAATAGAGGATTACTTCAAATGTTTTAAGGAAGGGCTGCTAAGATTAAACCCTAAAAATAGTACAAGATAATGTTGATTGAATTCACATTTAATTTTGCTCTTCAGTTTATAAATAAATATATAGAGTGTGCACTAAGGAAAATAAGTTGATTACAAGGTTCTGGTTAAGAATAGAGACTTCAACTTAAGAGAGGACTTAGAGGCTTACAAGCACTCAGATGATAAAAACAATAATGCATAAAGGTAATTACACAAAATCTTGGTTTCCGTGACAATAATGGCTTCAGATTCAATGTGTAGAGAGCTCTGCTGTGAATTTGTGCATTCTTGAATTATAAAAAGTTGATCTCTCTGGGTCCCCTGGCCTATTGGAAATATATTCAGCTTTAACACCAAAGTTGATAAGACACACTACTTTGAATTATATACTAGCACAAATGATATTCCAGGAAATCATGGACAATCATAAAATCTTTCCATGAGTCCAATGCTAAGAACCAACTTTATGTGTGTTATGTGGTATTAGAATGACTACTTTTTCATAAAAGGAAAAAATATTGGAAATTAAG